CTTAGATCAAAGATTATTAAAATTCAAGTAGATTAAGAACTTAAAAAACTGTCAAGGACAAGAATATGACAAAAATAAATAAATAATTGAAACTTCTCTCAAAGAAAGATGAAAAAGTAGAAATAACTTGATATGTATATTAAGAAAGAAATTGGAATGGCAATTTTCAAAAACCAAGAAAATTAGAGACCCTTGAAACTAGACTAGAAGTAAGAAAGGAATTGACAAGAATGAAGAAGGCTTCACTCTTGTCTCTATATATACTATCTAACTAGGGGCTACGTGGCGATGTTCTATAGGACCTCCAATATGTGTTGACTTTGTAGGACACATGCATTAACTTACAAGATAAGTTTTTCTATGTGTGAGCCACATAGTTAGCTTGATCTTCAAACAAACAACATGTGTGGCACATGGCCAACTTGTTGACGACGTTTCTAATCCAAAAAGTCAATTAAAGACACCTATAAAGTCAAAAGAGCATCTATAAAGCTTCTAAAAAGCTCCATATCAAATATTATAGAATTAACTTAATTTTACCTATATATACATATAATCATATACTGAGGAAATCTATGATGCGACGAATTGTATTCACGACATACTCTGATCTTTATTCTCTTCAAAGATGATTAATAGGGCCTCTCAACCATTGATAGTGTCCCATACCAAAGAGGAAAGACCACCCAATTATTTGATCGTTGTTGAGGCCTTCATAACTTCCTTCAAATAAAACATTATGAATACTGTTAGGAGTTGTTCATACTCTATAAAAATCACTAAACATCGTCAATTCCTTCTAAGGTCGTGATACCAAACGTATTATATTTTACCATCTATTTGAAGAAGAACATATCATTCTTAAAGACCTTCATCTCGATTGCGTCGTCTTGAAGTTTGAGACAATCATAATGTCTCGTCTAGTAAGTTAGCAAATAAAGGCTCTTCAATTGAATCCGTTGGTTGTTGGTTCTATATCTCCTGAGCATCACAACTACAAAGAAGCTACAAAAAAGGATTGAAAGTAGAATGATATCTTGCCTGGATCTTGTTTCTTTTATAAAGAAGGTTTTCATCTTGATTTTGATGGATGTCGTCAATAAAAAGCCTCCACCGCCTTTACAACATTTATAAGATTCTTTATTAGCTTCCATGTGCGTTCACTACTATCATATCCGCACCAATGGACAAGATATTCTAATTTATTTTGGCGTCGCCTTGAATCTAAGACTTCTACCACTTCAAACTCTTTATTATTGTCCACTTCTATAGGATGAGGTAGAACTTGTCTTCTTTTTGGTATGTCCACTATCTTGTATGATTCAAGAAAAAACACATAGAATAGTGGATGGATTTTTATTAACTTCGATAGATTTAAACGATATACAAGTGGATTGATTTGTACAGAAATAGAAAATGGTTCAAGCCTTTGATAGTCCAACTTGTCACAAGGACGAGTGGTCTTGATATTGCGACGAAGTAACCATACCTTATCACCCATGTAGAATGGTGGTTGTTCGTTTTGATAGACATCTGCATTGACTTTTTGTTGTTCTTGAGCTTCTTTTAACTACGCCTTCATTATTGCATGAAGCTTTGACAAATAAATTGCCAAATCTTTCGCAGCAAGATTATCAACTTTTGAAAAGTCAAAAGTATCAATTTGTGGATGATAACCATAATTAGCAAAGAAAGGTGTTTGTTTTGTAGAAGAATGTACCGTGTTATTGTAACCAACTCTACCAATGGCAAAAGAGTTATCCAATCATCTTGTTGGTAGTTAATGGTACATCTTAAATACTGCTCCAAAATTTGATTAACACGCTCCATTTATCCATCAGTTTGAGGATGGAATGTCGAACATAGTTTTATATCCACTTTTAGAATCTTAAAAAGAATCCGCTAAAATCTTGATACAAATTGAGTTCCCCTATCTAATATAATATCCTTGGATAATCCATGATAGCGATAGATATTGTCAAGAAAAAACTTAGCTGTTTCTTCACCTAAGATAAAATTTATATATAGTACAAAATGTGCCATCTTGATAAAATGATCTACTGTCACGAATATAGAGTCATAAGAACCTGAGATTCGAAGATCCGTGATGAAATCCATAGAAATAGAAGACCATGGTTGTTTTGGAATAGATAATGGCTGAAGAAGTCCGTAAGATCAATGACGAGGAGTTTTTGATTTCGAGCAAACATCATAAGATTATACAAAATCTTTAACTGCTTTCCACATTTGGGGCCACTAAAAGTCCCTAGATATTAGTTCCACAGTTTTATTGTATCCAAAATATCTTGCTCCTGAAAAGTCATGACGAGCTTGAAGAATATGTAATCGCGCTTCACCTTCTAGAACATATAGACATCCCTCAAAATATAGTAGATTCTTCTTGAATTCAAACTTGGAAGTATCATGAGACTTTGAAGGATTTTCTTTAATATCACGAATAAGAGGATCAGAAGACATACTTGACTGAACTTGCTTAATG